CATGTAGAGTCAAGTCTGACTCTGAGTAGTGCAGAGATAGGCAGGCAGCTCTGTTCTACCAGCACCATGTGCAGGTGGCTACTGTCCCAGACTGGTCAGCATCCATGCTTCCTTATGTTCCCTGTGCCAGAGATCAGCACTGCATTGGGGCAGTGCTCAGATGGTAAAATGGGAGCCTGATTCTGGGCTGGGAGGAAGGGGAGAGACAGGCCTGCGAGTGAACATGAGAGAGAGGTAAATGAACATCACCTTTAAACAGTTTGAAACGTAGACCTTGTAAGGAGTGTTTCATGTTACAGCCAAGAGATCAAGGTGTAACAGTACAATATTTGACTTGCTCCCATCTTGAGCTGAACAACTAATCAAAAAGCAAAGGCTGTCATAAAACAGCTCCTGCTCTCAGTTTTTAGTGCTTCAAATGCAGTCTCTACTCCTGAGAGGATTGTTCACTCCCTGCTCTGTTCTCAGACCCAGGCCTTTGAGCCCTGATTACAGGCTGTCTGAACACAGTCCGCTGGGCTTAAGTTACAATCTTCAAGTGGTTTTTCTGATTTCCATTATTTTAGGCTGCCCACATATTCTTCCCCTTGGCTGAAGTGAACTTTGCTTGGGAGCTGAACAAATAATTTGACTGCAGCATGCTGCTGCTTTTGGCTTTGCCTTCTCAAAGATGTGCATGCTTCTCTGGGGTGGCGGTCATGGCCTCTGTGCCTCCCTGGCTCCACCAGTCAGACTCCCAGGTGCCTTTGTACCTTGTTCCTATGTACTCATTACTATAATAACATTCCTGCATGGGTCTCCTCTTTAAGTGTGGGCCATAGGGTACATGAATTCCCAGCTCCATACATGTTTTTTTCATTTTAGTTGATACATTTATTTTCAAACAGGCTTCTCTTTACTTTTAAAGTCCTTCACAATCCAGCCTGCTGTACCTATCCCCCCGAATACCTTATCACAAGATCAACTCCCACCGTTGTCAGCTGATGATGCCAGCTTGGATCATCCAGTTCTCCGCATCTTTGAGCGCTTCCAGGCTTTTTCATGTCCTGCCCCTTACAAGCAGGAAGAACTTCCAGTTAAAATCTGTTAAAACGACCCTCTTGTCTTCAAGTCCCTCTTCACAGCTCACCTGTGCCATAATGGATACAGAAAACTGCAACCTGATAATGGTAAAGATCTGTGTGGTCAGTGCTACTGACTCATTAAGCATTATACACTACATTATAATTTTTGCTACCCCATCACTCCTGCCCTCACCCCAGCAGAGTTGATTGTCTCATCCCCCTAATATGTCTTATCTTTTAGACTGCTAGCTCTTTGGGGCAGTGACTGTTAGTTATTATATGTTTGTACAGCGCCTCGCACAATGCAGCCCAAACTGGTTTAGGACTCCAGGTGTTATCAAAATATAAACATTTATTAATAAGCAATAGATTACATCCTTGTGTACTCTGTTCCACAGTGTTCAGTTCAAATAGAGAGATCAACTTTAAAATAGAAGGCAAGGCAAGTCATTAAGATGAAATCATAAACAAAACAGAAAACTAACGCTTGTGTACAGTGCTTCTAGGATGTCTGGAGGAGCTGTAGCATTATAATGCAGAGAAAACATTTTGGCGGTTTAGCAGGTAATGACTTGAGATTTGCTTCACATGTAGGATGGCTCTACTCCCTTATCAAGGGAGGCAAGGCCATATGAACTCTTGCCTGGAAGGATGCATGGGCCTGCTTGGCTCATGGGGATCTTTTGTTCTACGTCTTGGGGATTCTGCGGAGTTAGGTGAGTACTTGCCTTTGTGATCCAGTAGTTTTGCTGCTGAATAATAATAATAATCATTGAATAATAAACATGCCAGTCTAATTATATGATTCTCTCTGAACTAGAAAGTCTTTAAAGGTACTTGACTTCAAATGTCTGCAACTTCTGTATTGAGCAGAATGCAACTTCTTTTCTGTCCTGGGATGCATCACACTTCTATTCTGTCAGAGGCCATAAAAAAGGCTGCTAATTATTTCTTTTTATTGTCTTCTAATGACAAGGCCCTAATCCCCGTGAGCAGGGGCTGAGTGAATGGATCTGTGTTGTTGTTCTGCCTGGAACGCTGTATGATGTACAAATCTGTTTAACGGATAATCAACAATAAGAGAATCTTCCATTGTTGTATGCAGTATTGTTGTAGCTGTGTGGGTCCCAGGACATTAGAGAGACAAGGTGGGTGAGATAATACCTTTTATTGGACCAACTTCTGGTCGTGAGAGAGAATCTTGATTCCTTTGTCTCTATAAAGGAATCAAAAGAAAAGAAAATGTTACATGGAGGGTAGGCATATAAAGATGTTGATGAAAGTCAGGATTAAAATGACAAACTTAAAAATCACTTAAAACACAAAGGCTCAAAGGCAAGAGAAATTTCTCAACAAATCATCTAGAGTGATGGAAATATCTTAAGGAATGGTTAAAATAAACAAAACAGACTGAAAGAACAGCTAAAGGCTTGGGTTGTGAGTAAAGTTAGAGAGACAGTATGGTCCAGTGGATAGGGCATAGTGTGGGATGCGGGATACCTGAGTTCTCTTCCTGGCTTTGCTGCTGAACTTGCCTCAGACAACCACCTTCACCTGTCTATGCCTATTTTCCCTCCCACCCTTTGTCTGCCTTGGGACTTTAAAAAGGGCTCAGTTTGGTATGTTGCCATTGAGGCCAATAGTAGAATGTACAACCTAGATGCACAGTGTTTGTTTTCTTAGTAAAGGTATTAGTGAGAGCCTTAGCACCACATTGGTTTATGAGACTCTGGTCTGAATTTTTTCATCTTGTAACCACACGTGTTTCCCCATACCAGGGCACTTCGGAAAGATAACACAGCATTGAAGAAAAAGAAGACGCTTCCCCCAAAATATCTGAAGCAGAACTGGAAAAACATCACTCTGTTTCAGTTCTCACGCAAGAGCCCCACACACATGTGCTCAGATACTTCGTTTGGAGACATGCTGGGAGGTGCAATTCTGCTGAGCAAAGGCAGTTAGGTGCCTCAACTCTACGCATAGGAATCATTGCCTCTTTCTCCTCATCCTGGTGTGAAATTGCATGTACTGGTGGAAAGCTAAGTTGAAGAAGTGTTCCCTGGCTTTAGATGCTGTGTTGGCATGTCTGCATTCTGATATCGCCTACCAGCTTTGAAAATGGCAACATGCTGCTTTCTGTATTGCTGTTGTGAAAACTGGTGACCATCCTCAAGCAGACTGATATCTCTCCAGTGTATAAACAGCTACAAGGCTCCAGCTCATACGTTGTTGTAGAGCTAGCACCAATTAAAGAAAGAGAAGATGGTAGCTGAGTCCCTACCTCATTTTTAACCGAGCTAAGGCATTTACATGCTGCGTTTAGCCAAAGTGAATAAAGGTGAGTAGGAAGTCATTTGTACTTGTGAACCCACCATGTAAAATTATAAGGAACAACAAACATAAAATGAAGTCAAAGGAACTGCCTGAACTGAGTTTGTTTAAGATGGATAGTGATTGTTCATCGCTCACCTCTCTGCTTACCATATGCTGCTTGCACGTGAATAAAGCAAACATCAATGAGACCAATGTTTTCCATATTCTTCGCCCTTTATGTGGTTGTCCTGTTTGTCTAAACAGCAGGATTACTCTTAACAAGAAATGTTGATCCAAAATCCAACTGTGGATTGAGTCTTTTCCCCAAGAAAGCCTTTTGGTTCCAGCCAGAGACTTTTTAATCAACATCTTTCCTTTTCAAGGACTCTGCTGAATGCATTTCCCAGAATGAATACGAAAGCTCATGCTCAAATAAATTGGTTAGTCTCTAAGGTGCCACAAGTACTGCTTTTCTTTTTGCGAATACAGACTAACACGGCTGTTACTCTGAAACCTGTCATTTAACTTCTGAATTCCAAGTAACATTTCTGCTTAGCTTTTCTTGTCATGTGATTAATAAGTGTTAGAAGATGTTTTATGGTGTGGTTGCTATGGTAATATCTGACCAGAGTCCTTTTACACAAACTCTAAACACACAAAGTCTTACAGTTTTAAAAAAAAAATTGCTCCAATAACACCTAATGTCTCAATCCCTCTTTTACAACAGCACTGCTCATCCATGTACTACTTGCTAGCTTCTTCAGCAGAGAACTAGCTCCCAACAGACACTTTTCTCACATTTCTTAAGAAAAGTTGTAGGACCAGTTCTAAATCTTAGTGGACAATATTCCATCTCCTGTTCACTTAAACATGCTTTCTCGTTCTGTGAAACATCTGTTGGAGATCACTTAAGTAATTTAGCTGGTTAACAAGGGAACACATACTTGAACTCACATGTGTCAAAAATATGCACTGCTGAATCTACACTACAAACCATTTTCTTTATGCAGGGCGAGTCCACTGAGGGAATTTATAAGAGAATCTCTAGCCTGCATCTATCTTAAATCTAGGCATTTATATAACCTCTTGTCAATTTAGCAGCTGCATTCCTAAGTGGGAAGATCACTAAAATCAAAAGGGTAAATTGCTGGTCAGAATAGAGACCAGCACACCCAGATCCAAAAGACTAAACTATATTCAATTAATACTGAGCACAGAATGGGTCACTTTGTGGGGGAGGTGTGACTAGGGACGGGATGGGGGTTGTTCCTGACTAGAATTAGGACAGCATGGTTATTCAGGAGCCAGAGAAAATGCTCCTAGCTGAAGGTCTGGGGACACAGCTGTGTTTTAGCTGGACTTCTGAATGTGGAATTACCTGTTTGTATCTTTATAGATATATTTAACCTCTTTGTTCAAGGTGAATAGGAACCTGTGTATGTACTATGAAAAAAAATAGACTATGAAAGTACATCCCAACTCTCTATGTTATTCATTTCTCTCCCAGTGAGGTAAGAACCCTCTCTCAGAAGCTCGGATAATATTTTAATGTCCTGGTTTCTGTGATTTTTTTTAAGTACATTTTAAGATTTTGTACAAAAAGGCAATTTTTGACACAGAAAATAAACACAAAATTTTAATCATCAAAATATTTTAATTTGATAGAAACTAACTCAAATGGTGTTAAATAAAGAAGAAAACAGTCAGGAAACAACAGCTGAGGTAAAAACAACTTTAAAAATTATGACTCTCATCCTGCAGTGTGATCCATGATATCGTAGCCTTACCAATCGATGTACCTACAGGCCATACAATTTCACCAAATGATACCTGCATCTAGCCTAGTAACTAGTTGAACTGAAGGATAACTTTTAGAAAAAACATTAACTTCAATGTCAAGACTCCAAGTGGTGGAGAATTTATCACATTCCTTGGTAATTTGTTCAGTGGCTATTGCCCTCTCTGTGGCTTCATTTGCATGATGGATCCACCCACACAGACTACATTGCAGGATCAGGGCCTAAATAGATCCCTCTAATAGCAGGAGAAAGAAGGAGTTAAATCAGAGAAAAATAACAATAAAAATCTTAGGCATGATCAATAGGACATGTGGAAAATTGAAAATGTGGAAGATTTCATATAATTATTTAAATATCAATAACAGCTAAGGGGTGACATCTGGGCCCCATTGAAGTCATAGCGTTTAAGGCCAGAAGGGCCCACCAGATCTTCTAGTCTGACTCCCTGTATATCACAGGCCACCAGCACCACTCATCACCCACACACAAAACCGAACGACCAAAATTAGACCAAAGAATTACAAGCCCACAAAAGACAAGATTATTAGGTGCCACAGATAAAGAAAGGGAAAGATTGAGTGAGATTTACCCAATTAATCGCAGCAAGTGACCTGCAATCCATACTACACAGGAAAGTGGAAGAAAACCTAATGTCACTAGCAACCTGACCTGGGGGGAAATTCCTTCCTTGACCCCAGGTATGGCACTCAGTTAGACCCTCAGCATGTGAGGAAGAACCAGCCAGCCAAGCACCTGAGAGAGAGAGAGAGACAGTCAGTGACACCTCAGAGCCCTCAGAGCCCATCCAGATCCCATCTCCAGCCATTGACTTCAATGGGGTCAGGCTTTTACTTGTGGCCTCCATCACCATAGCACGCTAAGGCCTCAGACTAATTAAAAGTGCACATAAAATAAAAAAGAACTAAAAAACTGAACTCTGAAATGACCTTTATAGGACGACTTTAGAGTCTAAGGAATAGAAGAGGACAATGTAGCCAGAGTCGTTGCAATTTGTTCCACCATTAGACCCTGATTCACCACTTCCACACGAGCAACTTTAAACATGGGAATAGGCTCCCTGAGGTCAATGGGCTAACCTGCATGTTTATGTCTTATCAGGATCAGGGCCTTAGCTGGTGTTTTTTTAATTTGTCTGCCATCTCAGGCAGAACCCCCATTTTAATTCCGTGACAGTGACTTGAATTTTAGCAAAGGACAAGTGATGGGGATGAACGGCTGAGGCATTGTTTTGATCAGTAACATTACATGAAAAGCACTGGGTGGCATTTTCACTGAGAAATATACTCCAGGCACAGATTTTTTTAGATACACTGACCCGGAACACACCACCCCCCACCACCTACTGACAGCAAATTCACCAGCCAGCTACAGAAAGCTAGAGAAAATGTCTCTGGCGCCATCTACTGTGCCAACAAAGCACTAAAGCAATCAGAGACCTCGAGTAAGTGTACTATCCATGGCCACAGTCAGCTACACCTACAGTTAGTGGTATGATTTAATTTTATTATTAATCAAAGTAAGAATATTTTTCCATAAATAGTCAGTTGTTTCATTTAAAAGTAATTAGGCTAAGCTCACTAGTTTTATAATCTCACTACTGTCACCATATGGCACATTATATTTTCTTCAAAAGCATTAAATGGCTCTATTTAAAGTTTTGGCTCTCCGTCTTGTGCCTTATTTTCAAGGTGTATATTGTATGTTTATGACTATACATGCTGATTTTGTTTGTTGTTACACACATCCCGTAAAGCGTTGCCTCTTCAGCATTCACATGCTTACTATATTATCCTGGTTTAGACCAAGCCTTATCTCCAGCACACAGTGCAAGTAGGTGAGCTGTGCATAGAGAATCCACAGGCATCTGAAGAGGATGTTTTGTGGTTCTGACAGTCTTTTGTTGTCTGTTTTCTTGTCAACCTGCAGAAAAGACATGGCCAAAAATTCAAATGAGATTTTTTTTTAGGAACTCCTATTTAGCTTGATTTAGGGGCTCTCTCACATAAGTGATTAGTCAGAAGCCTGACAACTAATCCCATCTATTGGGTTGTCATTGCTGAAATTTTTGACTCCAGAGATGTCTTGTAGAACCTACTGTATTATGTTCTGGAACAGTTCAGCCGCAGAGTTTATGCTGAAGCTGAGGTTTACATATCAAAGCAGCAGTGTGGGTTGAAAATGTGATGATATATCTCGATTTTGGTCTAAGCTTCAGCTGTTGTGATCCACTGCTGAAGTCAAGCTTGGCAAGGGCTGGGGCTCCACTGAGGTAACTGATAACAGCGTCATCACCATCATAGAATCACAGAACTGGAATGGACCTCAAGAGGTCCTCTAGTCCAGTCCCATGCACTCAAGGCAGGACTAAGTATTATCTAGACCATCCCTGACAGGTGTTTGTCCAACCTGCTCTTAAAAATCACCAATGATGGAGATTCCACCACCTCCCTAGGCAATTTATTCCAGTGCTTAACCACTCTGACAGCTAGGAAGCTTTTCCTAATGTCCTAGTTGTTTCAGGAATTTTTTTTTAAGTCTGTTGTTCTTATTCTCCTAGTTTCCTTGGACTCATTAAATCTATTATTTCATGATCATTTTCACCGAAATTGCCTTCCAGTTTCACATTTGCCTTTAATTCCCTCCTGTTGATCAGAATCAAGTCTAAAATGGCTGTCTAAAATGTCTAAAGTCTAAAATGGTTACTTCTTCCACTTCCTGAAACAAAAAGTTGCCTCCAATACATTCCAATAACTTATTGGACACTTTGTGTTTTGTTGTATTAGTTTCCCAAAAGATATCTGGGTAGTTAAAGTCCCCCACTGCTACCAACTCTTGTGTTTTCAGTATTTCTGTTATTTGTTCTAGAAATGCCTCACCCTGCACCTCTTCCTGATTTGGTTGTCGGTAGTAGACCCTCTATCATGACATCACTCCTATTTTCCCCCTTTATCTTTACTCAGAGACTGGGTGGAAAGTGTTCTTGTGGTGGGTTGTGCTTCCTATCACTGGCCCTAGGGGAGGCAGATACTGCTGTGTGAGGGCTGTGGCCCCATTAAAGTTAGTTGGATTTTTAATGTGGTCTCGCTTCATTCCTTCAGCTGCCCCTCATGTTGCAGTAAGTAGAATAAAAATGACAACATCCATATGAGGTGTCACGTACAAGCTAAAATAGAACAGTTAACTGCATGTCTTGTCTTGTCCAAACCAATACAATTTCCATTTGGCACAAACCATATGGTGTGTAATATAGCACTAATCAGTGTCCATTTAAAGGGCCAATGGCCACACTTGAGATCAGTTAAGTACTGGCACCAGCTGAAAGATTACATCAAAAATGGAATAAGGAAGGCTGATGATAGTGCTGACAAGAGTAGCTTCTTCACAGGGCAGTAAGTCAATATAAATGAAGGAGTTTGATCGTCTGAAAACTGTGTAATAGCTTACATCCATGCATTCCTGTGATCAGCTATTGGGTTTCATCACAGTCTGGCACCTGAACAAAAGACACCAGCAGTCAACCTCTACAGAAAGTTACACTGGTTTCTGATATTGCTATTTAGCAATATTACATGGTGTTTCAATGAACTGTGATCTTCCTGCCAAAAGCATTCCAGGCTCCAGATTTTTTTCACCTACCTGTGATTTCTCATAACAGAAGAAATATCAAAGGAGAGCACATGAGATTTGCTGTGGCTATGGTTTTAAAGAGTGTCCTTCCAAACAATGAAACATAAATTGCATTGAATTAGTGTAATATGTAGTAATATAGGAATTGCCCGACTGAATCAGACTCAAGGTCCATCTAAGCCACTACCTTCTCTCCAACAGTGGCCAGATAGTTCAGAGGCAGATACAAGAACGCTCCTAGTCCCCTTAGGAGTTAAAGATTGGCTTAAACCCTGAAGGATGAGGTTTAAATATTTCTTCCAAAATGTCTGTTAGATGTCTTAGATGTTCCACAGATATTCACATTAACTATTATAACACTGGTTATTGTTATCCATATAAATATTTATTCCCTTTTTAAATCTTGCTAAGTTTTCCACCTCAACAACATCCTGTAGCAATGAGTTCCAGTCTAATTATGAATTGCGTGAAAAAGGATTTCCTTTTCTCAATTTTTGAATTTATCGTGTTTAATTTAATTGAATGTCCTCTTGTTCTTGAGTTGTAAGAGAGACCAGGAAGTTCTGTTCTAACTTCTCTTTACTTTTCACTATTTTATACATTTTTATTTTATCCCCTCTTATTCATCTCCTTCCTGAAGTAAACAATCCCAGTCTTTTCAATCTCTTATGAAGAGAGTTTTCCCGTGCCCCTATTTGTTTTATTGCCTTTCTCTGAACCCCTCCTCATTATACAACGTCCTTTTTGAGATGAGGCCAGTACTGCACAGTAGATGAGACCACAGCATTAGTTTATATAATGGCATTATAATATTTTCTGTATTATTCTCCACCCCATTCCTTATGTATTCTCACATCTTGTTTGCTTTCTTGACTGTTGAACAGACGTCATCACCGAGCTGTTCACAGTGATCCTCTAGTCCCTTTCCAGAGCTGATACAGTTAATTTAGAACCCTGTAAGGTGTGTGTAGTAAATATTTAGATATTTCCCTGCAGTGTGAATTACTTTATATTTAGCAACATTAAACTTCATTTGCCATTGTGTTACCCATTCACCTTCCCCTGAACTTCAGCACAATCCTCTCTGGTCTCGACTAACCTGAATAACTTTGTCATGTGCATATTTTGCTACCTTACTGTTGGCATTCTATCACACACAAAAGCAGGCTGACTACCTGACTATTTAAGGGAATGTGGTACAATTTATGTGAGGGACAATATGAGCTGCAAGTCAGACCCCAACCTCCCATCCTACTAATGCTGTAAATGAGTCAATATATAGGACTCTTTACAAGTTTTCTTACCTGTCGCTGACTGTGAACATCTAAGTTTTGATTGGATAGCAGCCAGCGCACATTAGCATATAGTATCTGATCATGGAATAGAGTACAGCTACTGAGACTTAGGAAGTGATTGAAGCCTGAGTGCTCTGCCCTCAAAAAAGCTCTTCATTCAGATGACACTACATCAGTTTCATCCACATAAGAAGTTAAGGAGGTAAGATATGCCATTGAAGTCCTAGCTGGTGGCTGGTTAAGAGGATTGCTTTTTTTTTAAAAGAAAAAAAAAGGGGGGGTGGGAATTATTTACCATAGAGTAAAATTTAGATTTTTGTAAAGTTGATATAAGAAGATAAACAAATAGCAATCAAAATAATTTGAAAGCCACCATGCAATTCAATTACTAGAAGTTTTGCAGTATTTCAGTCTATACCAACACCTAACTGTACAAACATGATTCTCTGCAACTGTCTTTTTTTTCTGTATTAATCAGCCATCGTTTGTCATTCACTGAATTTTAAAGTAATATTTAATTTATGCTTTTTTCTTTGGCAAACCAATATAAAAGGAAAATGCTCCACTACAAATTGTTAATGATTAATTCTAATGAAGAAAGGAATTAAAAATCAATTTTCAAGCCAGTTCATTTTGAAAAGTAATTGAAAAAAGATTTGGACTGTCTTTCTGAATTATATAACAGGTCATTTAATATTCAAGGGTAATTTGTTTCATAAATTCAACACAGCTTTCCAATGCAACTCACATTTTACATTGTCTGTTCTAATGTTACTGTCCCTGTCTGCAGCAGTGACTATACTAGCCCTCGTGGTATAAATATGAGAGTATATGAAGACCTGATGTTTTCTATAACCTTTTGTATGTTCTATGTAGTAAAGCAGCTTTTCCCGGAATAAGCTCATTCTGATAACATCTTTTCTGGAGCAAAAATGACTTAGTTGCCTATTAAGAATTAAACTGCTAATTCAAATTGCTAAGCAATTAATGTTAAATCCCATGTGTCATGTTTAGTGTCTTTTTGCATGTATTTTGCTCTGAATATCTGATCACAGTACTCTGCAATTCCCTATTGTTTTACCATTGATATGTTCTGATTTACTTATTGGGGAGTAATACTTTGAATATACTGCTTATGGCACCTTTCATCCATGGATCTCAACATGCTTTACAAATGTTCACCAAGCCTCATAACACTCCTGTGAGGTATTATCAAACGAATCTCTTAGATGGGTAAACTGAGGCACCTCTCCAAGATCTAGTCACTTGCATAGCCAATAATAATAAAATAATGGCTCCCAGTTCCCTATTCCAGTTTCTGGACAAACTGCCTAACACATTATTATGCTATATATTTCACCACTCAGCATGCTGCATCTGATCCTTAGCTGGTGTAAATCAAAGTAACTCCATTGAAGATAATGAAGCTATGACAGTTTCCACCAGCTGAGGATCCAGCTGATACTTTTCAGATTTATCTTCTCTCTCAGAAATAATAATGATTTCACCCAAGAAAAAAGAACTTTTTTTATTCATGTGCACATTGCTGTTGTGGTGCTATGCTTATGCTTATGAAATTATGACTGGAAAGCATAAGGAACTACATGTGACTGTATGGGATGCCCACAATCATTTTTAACTAACACACCAAACTTTCTTCGGTTTGTCTGCTAGTTGAGATAGGAAAATGCATGAAGCCTGCCCAGTTCCATCCATTATTGTAACTGATGGGCTCTCAGAGATGTGTGCAATTTTGTGAAGTGGCCGAGAACCATATCAATTCAAATAACATGACAGAGTCATCTATTGCTCCTCACCTTCGTAATGTACAGCAGGAGAAAATCCTATTTTGTAACCAACAAGAATAAAGAGGCCTTTGCAAGTGCTGTGCTTCTCAGTTATTTTGGCTCTGACAATATAGGGCCTGATTCTGATCTCACTTACAAAGAGGTCTGGGAGTGGAGTTACGTGAACATACATTTGGTCTGAAAGGAGAATGAGCAAAACCAAACAGTCAATAAACTCATGGTGTGCTTTC